AAGAAGAGGAGGAAGGCCAGAGAATATTTACATTCTGGTAAGCCAGAAGTACAGTGAATAAAGAACACTGTATAGATACCAGGGCAAAGGCATTATTAAGTCCACGCATGCTGTGTTCCTTGATATTTATAAATTCTGGTTCTTTTCCTTAATGTTTAACTATAAAATTGCCTTTAATTCCTTTGTAGATTTCTTATATATTAGAGAAATGGACCATTGATATTTAATAGACACCAAAAAGCTAATGCAAAGCTCTATGTGCATGGGTTGGCTTGATAGTGGGTGGACTTCAGTATGCAAGGTGATTGGGCACCAAGGTAGCATTTTTCTTAGGGTGCCATCAAATGTTAGAATCTAGAGATTTTTACTCTAGGGCTTTCTAATTATTGGAATCGACAAACCTTTTAGTCCTGCATGGGTAGCACATGCCAGGCTGCTGGTGCTTTGGGAACAGCACTTTGGATGGAGAAGAAGACGAGGTGCTCTTATGGAATGTGCAGCTATTCATGGAGTCTCTCTGTTTTCAGCCCTGCACTGATACTCTTAAGTTTATGCTTATCAGATTCAGTTGTGCCACAGACTTGTGCTGATGGAATGAGAGTGTGTGATTTCCTGTGGTTGCTCACAAGAGGGGAGACCTGGGCATGGAGTGGGGTTCTGGTGGCTCTGGAGATGGGTTTTCAGTCAGTTTAACAGTTTTCAGTGCCACCTACTTTGTGTAATCCTACCTCCCAATCCAGAGTTGCTCTGGAGATATGTCTACAGGGTATGTCAGCTTCTTCTAAGCTTATTTTCCTGGAAGTATTGAGGATAAAGAAGTCTCTGTTCTGTTCAGTCAGCTATCATGTTGCTATCTGCTTTTTGTCTTGAGACACTTTAAAAAAAAATCCCTTATCTATTAGTGTATATTTCCTTCATACCTTTTGTCCTTTGGGATGTACATTTTGTTTAGAAAATCCTTTACTGACATTTCAAGTATGATTTTGAGATGCAGGGTCTACGGTCAATCTGCAGTTAAAATTTTTTTTTTTTAATGTTTATGTTTTGGAGGGGGAGGAGAGAGAGAGAGAGAGAGTGAGTGAGCGAGTGAGCCTGAGTGGGATGAGGGGCAGAGAGAGAGGGAGACACAGAATCCCAAGCAGGCTCCAGGCTCTGAGCTGTCAACACAGAGTAAGATCATGACCTGAGCTGCAGTCGGGCGCTTAACCACCTGAGCCACCCAAGTGCTCCATTGGTCTGCACTTTTTAACCAGAAGTCCAGGAACCACTTATTAATTTCTGCCTCTCTAGTGCCTGGTACATACAAGGTACTTGAATAAATATTTGATGAATGAATTTTTGAATTAAGTTAGAAGTTTTTATAGTAATGGGAGGCTTTGATGGCAGAAAAATATTATGACTGTATATGTTTATATAACAACCTAAAAAGTATCTTCTAAATTGTGGTTCCTCTTTGGCTCCATTCCATTTTTTGTTTTTGTTCTTCAACATGGTCAAGGAGATCAAATGTTTTAAAGTGTGTCCATCAACAAAATAAAAAGGCAGCCTACTGAATGGGAGAAAATATTTACAAATCATATATCTGATGAGGAGTTAATATCCAAAATTCATAAAGAACTCCTATAATTCAACAGCAAAAAAAAAAAAATCCTAATAAAAAGTAAGCAGAAGATCTGAATAGACATTTTCCCAAAGAAGACATACAGATGGCCAACAGGTAAATGAAAAGATGCTCAACTTCAGTAATCATCAAGAAAATGCAAACCAAAACCAGTGAGACGTTACCTCACAGCTATTAGAATGGCTATTATCAGAAAAACAAGAAATAAGTATTGGTGAGGATGTGGAAAAAAAGGAACTGTCATGCACTATTGGTGGAAATCTAAATTGGTGCAGCTGCTATAGAAACAGTATGGAAATTTCTCAAGAAATTAAAAATAGAACTATCATATATTCAACAATTCCACTCTTGAGTATCTGAAGAAAACAAAAACACGAACTCAGAAAGATATACGCACCCCCATGTTCATTGCAGCATTATTTACAATAACCAAGATATGGAAACAACTTAAGTGTCCATTGATGGATGAATAGATAAAGAAATCATGGCATATATACACAATGGAATATTATCCATTTTTATCCATAAAAAGAATGAAATCTCACCATTTACAACAATATGATGGACCTCAAGGGCGTTATGCTAAGTGAAACCCATCAAAGACACATACTATATGACCTTTTAAATGGAATCTAAAACAAACAAAAAATAAGAAAAACCCCAATAACCAAGCTCGTAGATACAAGAGAACAAGATTGATGGTTGCCAGTGGTGGTGGATAGATGTGGGTTAAATTCGTGAAGGGGGTCAAAAGGTACAAACTTCCAGTTATAAAATAAGTAAGTCGTGGTGATGTATAGTGTGGTGACTATAGTTAATGATACTGTATTGCATATTTGAAATTTGCTAAGAGAGTAGATCTTCAAAGTTCTTATCCCAAGGAAAAAATTTTGTAACTGTGTGGTGATGGATGTTAACTATATTGTGGTGATCATTTCTCAACATATACAAATATTGAATCATTATGTTGTGCAAATGAAACAAAGTTATATGTCAATTATATCTCAATAAGAAAAAATAAATAATAAATCATGTACTACTTCAGGATGGAAATATGTTTGTTTTACTTGGTCACACACAATTATAGCTATTACATTAGGCTTAAGATATACATTTGTGGGGCGCCTGGTTGGCTCAGTCAGTTAAGCATAGAAGTCTTGATTTTGGCTCAGTTTGTGGGATCGAGCCCTGTGTCAGGCTCTGTGCCAACAGCATGGAGTTTGCTTGGGATTCTCTCTCTCTCTCTCTCTCTCTCTCTCTCTCTCTCTCTCTCTGCCTGCCCCTTCCCCCCCCACATGCTTGCTCTCTCTCTCTCAGAAATAAATAAACATAAAAAAGATACACATTTGCCTATTTATGGTTTTTCTTTAGAGATAGATGTATTGAAACTGATTTGTGTAGCAAATACAGTCTTTATTCTTATTTGTATGCATGTTTAGGCAATTTTATTTATTAATTATATTTAGGTAATTTTAAAAAGTTTTAATGTTTATTTTTGAGAGAGAGAGAGAGAGGGAGGGAATGGAGGAGGGGCAGAGAGAGAGGGAGACACAGGATCTGAAATAGGCTCCAGGCTCTGAGCTATCAGCATAGAGCCTGATGCAGGGCTCAAACTCACAAACTGTGAGATCATGATCTGAGCCAAGTCACATGCTTAACTGACTGAGCCACCCAAGCGCCACTATATTTAGGTAGTTTTTAAAGAGACTTATGGTGATTATATTGTAAAGCTTTCCAGCTGCCACTGCTCCCTACACATTGGACCTTTGTAGTTAATAAAGTTTGAAAGTTACTGGATTAGTGTGGTCTCTTATTCAGATATATTTTGCATTTGAAAGTGACTATGTGAAGATGGATAAAAACCTAATAGGGACAAAGAACTTAAGCTATAAAAGTGAGAATAAATAAATTAATATTTTGAACAGATTAGTATTCTCTTTATTCATAAAGGCAGCCCTAGACAATGAAGAGGGGTAGATACAAGTATGGTAGAGAGCCTGTGAGTTGGGTCCAGTGCTGGATCTTGGTCTTGCAAGTGGGATGCCTCCACACCTCATACCCCAAGAAGTAAGTGATTTTTTTTTGCATTTTGACTTAAAACTGATGTCTTAATTCTAAGTTCAGATAATGAAAAAATTACAGTGTTGTTTTAAACTTCTGTGCATTTATTTCCCCCCCCCCCCAATATTGGAGATTTATTAAAAGAATCTACTCAGGAATACAAAGAGAGTCCTTTCTATTAAAAAGAAAAGTAAAGAAAGAAGAGCCCATACCACAAAAGTAGGTTAGATAGTAGGTTAAGAAAGTCCCTTATAGAAAATTCTAGGGTTACAGAAATTGATAAGAAGTTGGGGGTAAGGATAAAAGAAAGGTGATAAGAAACTTTTTGGAACAAGAGAACCATATGTCTTAGTAACTTTTCTGTAGTAGATTTCTTCACACTGGAACGTTTTTCTGGTCATCTCCTTTAGAATCCCCATTTTATTATTTGTTTGACATATTTTATCAAGTTGCTAACACCTAGCCAGGTCTGTTTTAGGGAGAAGAAATTGAGAAGATTATACAAACCAGAAATTAAAAGATGGAAATGGATGGGCACGGGCAAGAAGAGGGACTATGAGAAGCAAAGAGAGCTTTAGAAAAAAAAAAGTCTTAAAAATATGACCAAGACTTTTAATGTATAATTTTCTTCTCTTCTTGAATAACTTCTCCAGTATGGTTGGTGTTGGGATTTCTGAGAAGAAACACACACCAAAATAGAAAGCCAGGAAACTTATTTTAGACCTTCATAGAAAATAACCTAGTACCTATAGGGGGTTAGAACAAAAGTGTGTGATTATCATGCGTTAAATAGAAACTGAGTTTAGTATTTTTTGCCAAATAGTTTTTGTGTTATTGTAAAAATGGAATATGAACTTGTACCAAAGAGTTATTAAGAAAAATATTAGTAATCTCAGGAGAACCAGATACTAAAATCTCTATTAATAGCGACTGTGGAAAGGCCATGCTGCTATTGGAAATTTAAAAGAAAAATTAACTGGAGGGTTGTAACTTTTGCTTTTGAGGCAGTAATACACTTTGATTCTCTTCACTTTCACTTTATTTATAAATGTTATGAAAATTCCATCATGGTTGACAAATATAAAACAACAACAATATTTTAGTGCTGACTAGGCTAAGAGACTTAGGTATTTTTCACGGTTTAAAAAAGTGGTATTTCATGATGAAGGTAAGAAGTTAAATGTTATTTACAAAGACCATTTCTCATTTACTTTTTGTATTTTGGGCTTGCTTGCAGGGAAAAGGTCTCCTTTGGAAGATGGAACTCTGTTTTCCAGAATGTGTTTCCAAGTCCATCAATGAAACATGATACTACTGCTGCTGTGTGTTGAAATGCTTGAAGAACGCCCACATCTCTGCCAGCGCCTTCCATCCTGCTGAAACCATGGTCTTCTCTGCAGTGTTGACTGCATCCCATACTGGGGCAACGAACACAACATTTGTAGTTTATGAAAACACTTACATGAACATTACGGTCCCTCCGCCATTCCAACATCACGGCGTTGGTCCATTGCTCAGATACAGTATGGAAACCATGGCTCCCACTGGGATCAGTTCCTTGACAGTGAATAGCACAACTGTAACCCCAACACCAGCAGTTTTTAAGAGCCTAAACTTGCCTCTCCAGATCATTCTTTCTGCTATAATGATATTTATTCTGTTTGTATCTTTTCTTGGGAACTTGGTTGTTTGTTTGATGGTTTACCAAAAAGCTGCCATGCGCTCTGCAATTAACATTCTCCTTGCCAGCCTGGCATTTGCAGACATGTTGCTTGCAGTGCTGAACATGCCCTTTGCCTTGGTAACTATTCTTACTACAAGATGGATTTTTGGGAAATTCTTCTGTAGGGTATCTGCTATGTTTTTCTGGTTGTTTGTGATAGAGGGAGTAGCCATCCTGCTCATCATTAGCATTGATAGGTTCCTTATTATAGTCCAGAGGCAGGATAAACTAAATCCATATAGGGCAAAGATTCTAATTGCTGTTTCTTGGACAGCTTCCTTTTGTATAGCTTTTCCTTTGGCTGTAGGAAACCCTGACCTGCAGATCCCTTCTCGAGCCCCCCAGTGTGTGTTTGGGTATACAACCAATCCAGGTTATCAAGCTTATGTGATTTTGATTACTCTAGTTTCTTTCTTCATACCCTTCCTGGTGATACTGTATTCATTTATGGGCATACTCAACACCCTTCGGCACAATGCCTTGAGGATCCATAGCTACCCCGAGGGGATATGCCTCAGCCAGGCCAGCAAACTGGGTCTCATGAGTCTACAGAGACCCTTCCAGATGAGCATTGACATGGGCTTTAAAACACGTGCCTTCACCACCATTTTGATTCTCTTTGCTGTCTTCATCATCTGCTGGGCCCCGTTCACCACTTACAGCCTTGTGGCAACGTTCAGTGAGCACTTTTACTATAAGCACAACTTTTTTGAGATTAGCACCTGGCTACTCTGGCTCTCCTACCTCAAGTCTGCATTGAACCCACTGATTTACTACTGGAGGATTAAGAAATTCCATGACGCCTGCCTGGACATGATGCCTAAATCCTTCAAGTTTTTGCCGCGTCTTCCCGGCCACACAAGGAGAAGAATCCGTCCCAGTGCTGTCTATGTGTGTGGGGAACACCGAACAGTGGTGTGAATATTGGAACTGCCTAACATTTTGGGTGATGGTTGTTCTTTATCAGACTTTGAGTTTTCTCTCACATGGGTTCTCCAAGTATATTTCATTGTTTTTTATAGGGTGTGTGTGTGTGTGTGTGTGTGTGTGTGTGTGTGTGCAGTGTAAAGAAAGAATGGTGGTTAGTTATAATTCTGTTACCGAGGATACACAATAGGGAAATGATCACAAATGTTACCTCCAAGGTTCAAGAGAAATCCTTGATTTAGTGTGGGGAGATGGTTTTTTGTTTCTTTGATTGATTTTGTTTTTGAAGCAGGAATCAGGATTGTGCTTATTGAGCCTGCAGTTACATTGAATTGTAGGTGTTTTGTATGCTGCTAAGGTATGCTTAATTGAGTTTATCGGGTTTTTTTCTGGAAGACATTGCTGCTTTTTGCCATCACATTGGAGCCAAAACCACCTATGTCTCAGTAGATAAATACTTACTTTTATTAACAAAAATAACCCAAGGGGGTTAGTGACATTTTAAAGGTCATTAATATTTACTTTGGTGCACTTTAAGAAATAATGTACAAACTGATTTAGTCATGTTTTTCAGAATTGTTTTTATACATGTTGTGCTTTAGGGAACATTGCATTATCATTTCTAGGAAGATAGTTTTTAAAAAAATGTTTTATCTGCATGTCCAGTTTTAAAGGAGAGAACATAAAAATGTAGACATTTTTCTAAGCACGATAGTGATTCTTTGGAGCAAATAGGGCAAAGTCGAGGAGACAGAGCATCCTTGCTAATTTAAATGGGATTGAGTTGAGTGGGCTGGTGTTTCCTTTACTCAAGAATTCTCACAGAGTCTAGTGGGGAGAAGGACTTCCCATTTATTGGACGCCTACCATCTTCCAGGCACTGTGCATTATTTTATCCTCACAACATCCTGTGAGGTGGGTAGTATTTTCTTTCTTTTTTGTGAAGAAAGCAAGTCTCAGAGAGACTAAAATCCTGCCCAAGGTTAATGGTAGAGCTGGACTCCAAAATACCTGTCTGAATCCTGAGACTCCTGTTCTACTGTGCCACATAGATATACCATTCTGGTTTATTATTTCATAGTCAAGAAGGAACTCTGGGTATCATGTAATTTTTTTAGACTAAAACCTTCCTTTTAAAAATAGCTTCACTTTTTTTTTTATTACCCAAAGGAAACGTGAAAACATTGCAGTAAGTGTGGAAGATACAAAAAAAAATATTCACAATCACCCTTGGAATTTAAAGATCTCAGATAAATAAGGCTATAAAGAAATAAGGTGATTTTTTTTTTTTTCAAAACAAGTGACTGACAATTATGGAGAAGTTAAATACAGCTGTGTGGAAGTCTTGGCCTTGCAGCTTCAGAGGTTTCCAGTTGTCCAGCTGTTTCTAAATATTCTGGGCGGAACAGCATTTCTGCCCTGGCGTTTGCCCACAGCAGGGCTGGAATTTGTGAATATGCTCAAAAGTGTGTCTCCCATAAAGAGGCAAAGATAAACCCTGGTCTGAGCATAGAGCAAGTTCTAATAGGGCAAATCTGGGGTTTCAAACTATTTTTCTCTTGCCGAAGACCTGCCCCTCTGAGCTGTCAGCACAGAGCCCAATGCAGGGCTCAAACTCACAAACTGAGGGATCATGACCTGAGCTGAAGTTGGATGTTCAACCAGTTGAACCACCCAGGCGCCCCTCATGGGCTTTATAAATAGCTAAGTTAACCATTTTTGGATTTTTACAGCATCTTTTTGGAATCTTAGTGCTTTGTGAGCCAGTGGGGAAAAAGCCTCTGTTTCTTCAGTTTTACAACCACAGAGCTGGATTAAATGAATCGTGCCCAACTTTAATGTGCTTTTTTCCACATGAGAGTAGAGATTTGTGAAGAGCCCAGCTGATGTCAGCATCAGTCTTTGGCCTCCAGTATTACTTCTTTACATTTTATTTATTATCTGTCTCTTAAAATGGAATGTCTACTGAATGTCTGAAGAGCCTATAGCACAGTATCAGGAATTAGGATTTGGGAAGGTTCCATCACAAAGGACTTGGGGAACCCTGCTCTTAAGACAGTTGTAATGGTATTAGAACTCATTTTCCAGTTAAAGAACTCTTTTGGTTCTCAAAGCATATTATTCAGCATGTTGTTTTGGGATCAGCTTCTGCTGATAATCACCTACCTCTTTGGTTTCTAATTTATATTATTCACAGATTAAAATTGTTTTGTCCACTAGGGATCTTACAGAACATAAACACTGTAGTAGATACGTAGAAGCACATGGAAGTGAATCATGCTTTCCATTTTCAATATAAACTGGATTTCAAGCAGATATTAATAAGTATATTTGGCTTTCTCTAAGGAAAGTCAGCATGATCTGTATTCATCTTACATTGGCAGTAGGTCTCGAGACTCCTTTTGTGATAGGAGTTGAAACTGAGCTTTGCTTTCTTTGTCCTTGTTTTTTTATGAGCCACCCTTCGGTACTTTTATGCTGCCTGGTGGGCAGAGCATCATTTGGTGGGAGCACGGAGCGCTTGCTGAGATGCTTGGTGTTTGGGAAAGAAGACCATGTGGGGCCTTAGTGAGAACTCAGCAACAACACTGAACAGCGGTTCTCTTCACACTGGATACTCTTGATCAGAGGACAGTTTACAAATCATTTTGAATGTTTTTATTACGTATACATTTTGAAAGCTTTAAACAAAAAGTACTCTGGTGTACCTTTGAAAAATTTAGGTGCAGAATCCTATGTTGCCTATTTCCCTGTGTTTCCTTGAGGGAAAAAAAAGTATCACTACTAATTATTGCCGCTGACTGACATAATCAGAAATGTTTTTGTTTTCATTTTCCTTCTGGCTAATAAGTAAAGAGGCGTGAAAGAGACAATGAGATATTTGTGATCAAGAGAAAGAGACAAAAGAAATCCTCAGTAGTCTGGAGTAGGGATATTCAAACTTTAATACAAATTTGTGTCTATTCCCAGGGGAGCTTGTTAACACTACAGATGCTTGGGTTCCCCAGAGGGTCTGGGGGTGGGGCCCAGGGATGAACGCTTTTATTTTATTGAGCGCTCAGTTGGATCCTGATGCACGTCCCTGGGTTCCTGATTCTGATGCTGGTGCTTCAAGAAGCACTCCTGTTGAAAATATATGCATTTTAATATTGCCTGTTTTATGTTTGCGTTGGAAGCCATTATCTCCTAGTGTATGGGTAATTCACATTGAGGGGAGAGTCTTTGCATCATTGTGCTTCATTTTCTGCCATATGCATTAGTGCTGGATCTCGCCAGTGTTAGCCACACCTTCTCTCAGCTGGCAAATTCTGGTAGACCGTATTGTTTCACGGTAGAGGAAAGAGAGTGACTTAATATTTAAAAGTCATGACTTTCAAGAGTCTGGTTCCTCTAATATTTTCTTTTCTTCTAGAGAGATGTCTTTATTGTATATAATCTCCAGAAGAGTATGAGGGGAGTGTAAAGACTCATCTAATTAATTGCTCTGCTTATGCCAGTCGTGTTCAATGGAAGCATGAAGAAAATAAAATAACCTTTTTAATATATGTATTTTGGTTGCTGACAAAGATAATTTGTTCCTAATCTTTGCTTTTGTTTACATGAAAATATTTATGTATAGATCACAGAAAAAATTTTACCTGCTTGACATTTTATTCTACCATGAATTTTAAGTTTAAAGGACTGCTTAATTCAAATTTATTTTCACAACCATAGTACTGCTAAACAGCCTTCTTTGAAAACTCAGTTTTTAAATAATAAAAATATCAAAGCACATGTTTGTTATTTCAGGTAAATGGTAATACATTTCTTAGCTATATATTGGTACCAGTCCTTTGTAATTAAAATTAATTTATTTTACAAAGCCTCTGGCCTATATGAAAAAAAAAACCTTTGAATTTTGGGTTGTAATTCAAAAATAAAAACTATGGTTATTTGTGCATATTGTTATTACAACCAGGAAAAGAGCTCCCAATAAGAAGATGAGTAAATATTTAACATTTCTAAAAGTGGAGTTTTTAAAAAAGGACTACTTCATCTTATCTTAGAAAAATTTGTCATGAATAATACTTTCGGTTAAATTAAAATCTGAGTTCAGTTTCAAACCCTGCTTCCTTTGGGTTTTTATTTTCAAATTAGCTCTCAAAGCCTGTGTGTATATAATTATATTCTAGTTTTAGAAGTTCTCAGAGAAGTTAAAGATGAAATGAAACTTGGCAAAAGACCACTGATATTAAGAACCAGTTTTAAGGAATTCTGTCTAGGAGAATTATGAAAATTTTACTGCTGAATTATTTAAAATTGGATTGTCACTTGGCAAAGCAATGACAATGTCTGCTCTTATTTTGACAAAATGATTTCAGACTGCACTTCCATTTCTAAAACCTCAGGCCTTTCTAAGACCCACTTTTAAATCGATAAGAAATATCAATTATTTGTACATGAGTTTCAACTTCTTGCCAATTAGACATAAGGGTTTTATTTTCTCTTGTTTTTCACTCATGCAATAACTAAATATATTTCTTTTTAAGTTATAAAAGAAGATTGTCATTGAATCTACATTTGACAGTTTTTTTTTTCTGAAATAGAAAGATACAGTGGAGTAAAGGAACACATTGAATTAAAAACATTTTTGGGGTGACTGGGTGGCTTAGTTGGTTGAGCAGCTGACTTTGGCTCAGGTCATGACTTCACCGTGAGTTCGAGCTCTGCTTCTGGCTCCCAGCTGTGAGCTCGGAGCCCGCTTTCGATCCTCTGTACCCCTCCCTCTCTGTCCTTCCCAGAAAACCCACACACTTTATTTCTCTCAAAAATAAATTCTAAAAAAACCCCACACACAAAAAGACATTTTCATATCTACCATGAAAATGAAAAGATCATTTCACATCTACGATGAACCCCACTCAACTCATACATAATAAAGAGAACCTTTAGGAGCAATGTAGATATCAAGGTGCAGTCAATTAGATTTAATACAAAAAGAAAAAAAACAAATT